GTCAGATGATCAAAGCAGGTGGACACACCAATATGAGGACAGGTATTTATTAACCTTAGCTATGCATTATGTATCTGTACAATTATTTCCATTTATCCAGCTTAAAGCTGCTACTCTTCTAGGCACATGAAGTATTCATCAGAGGAAGTATTCTAGTTCATTTGAGAGGGAATCTGTAGCGAAGGGGTGTATGTAATTTACTGAATGAAGAAAAAGTAGCTTTTGATATTGTCATGCTGCCTGCCACTTTCTAACCACAGAAGAGTGAACAGCGAGTGACCCAGTCATGGGAGAACTTCCTGGAAATCCATGCCCCTGTTGTCAGTTTTCGACTTTAGAATCAGCGGGGATTTCTTGAGGCATGCCAGTGTCTTTTTTTAACATGTCACCTTTGCTCACTTCACTGTACACTCTAGTTTCTGGGTATTAAAACAGCCCTTTCTAGGAAAGCTCAAAAACAGACATATCGCTCTTCTGGCATGACATGGTTTTAATGAACACATCCAAATGGCTCTTCCCACTATGTACTGCTTGCCTTCTGCGACCATGCCATTTAACCCACAGTGTATCTGACTTCAATTTCTAAGGAATTTGTGAATCTACTAAAATCCTTTCAGAGGGAGAGAGTTATAATGAAAATTTTCTGCATGTTAGTAAATTGTGCTTGTTGCCAACTAAATGTGTGATGCAGGAAGGGAATGCCAGGCATATATCTGGGAGTAAGCGAACTCCGCAAGGTTTATTTCTTAGTAGGCATGTGTAGGATTTAATTTCTGTGGAAACTAATTCTCATCTGTTTCTACATATTGTGGTAATGTCCTTTGTTGCCTCACATATTTTTGACATTTCATTGTTGTCATTTTAAAATACTGACATCAATTGAAAGCCCCCTGAAAACGTAATCTACTTAAATAGTTCAGCCTATTTGTGTGACCGCATCTCTCCCTATGAACCCATTTGGCCTTAAGGTCCTCCAGGGAGGCCCTCCTGATGGTCCCACCACTCTCACAAGTGCGGCTGGTGGGAATGAGGGAGAAGGCATTTTTGGTGGTGGCCCCTCAGCTCTGGAATGCTCTTTCCAAAGAAATTAGACATGCCCCCTCTCTAGCCACCTTTAGGAAAGAATTGAAAACATGGATGTGGAAGCAGGTGTACGCAAATGATTAATTATATCTTATCATGATGGTGAATTGGTTGGAACTGGTTTTCACCCTGGTGTACAATATTATCCAGCAACAATTTTTAAAATATGTATTTTATTATTATTATGTTATTGTTATTTTTAGCTTGCTATGTTTTGATATTGTTGTATATATATTATTTCTATTTTTGTTTCAGTCTTGTTTTGTGACTTATTTTCTGTAAGCCACCCCAACTTCTGTTTGGAGAGGAGGTGGGGTATGAATTATTGTTGTTGTTGTTCATTCGTTCAGTCGCTTCTGACTCTTTGTGATCTCATGAACCAGCCCACGCCAGAGCTCCCTGTCGGTCATCACCACCTCCAGCTCCTTCAAGGTCAAGCAGGTCACTTCAAGGATGCCATCCATTCATCATACTATGCGGATCTTCGTTACCAATGTGATGGCTCTACTCTTTACTATTTTATTTAGATTGGTCATTGCTCTCTTCCCAAGAAGTAAGCGTCTTCTGATTTCCTGCCGCAGTCTGCGTCTGCAGTAATCTTTGCACCTAGAAATAAAAAGTCTGTCACTGCCTCCACGTTTTCTCCCTCTATTTGCCAGTTATCAATAATTCTTGTTGCCATAATCTTTGGTTTTTTACGTTTAGCTGCAACCCAGCTTTTGCACTTTCATCTTTCACCTTGATTAGAAAACTCCTCAGCTCCTCCTCGCTTTCGGCCATCAAAGTGGTATCATCTGCATATCTAAGGTTGCTAATGTTTCTTCCAGCAGTTTTTACCCCAGCCATGCATTCATCAAGCCCCACGCGTTTCATGATGTGTTCTGCATACAAATTGAATAGGTTGGGTGAGAGTATACAACTCTGCTGTACGCCTTTCCCAATTTTGAACTAGTCTGTTGTTCCATGGTGAGTTCTTACTGTTGCTACTTGATCCTTATACAGATTCCTCAGAAGAGAGACAAGGTGATTTGGTATGCCCATGCCACCAAGAACTTGCCACAATTTATTATGATCCACACAGTCAAAGGCTTTAGAATAGTCTATTATTATTATTATTATTATTATTATTATTATTATTATTATTATTATTATTCCTCTTTTGCTCTTTGTGTTGCATGCCAAGCTTCATTTCTGTGACTGTGGTTGAATTTTGAAGACATAAGTGATAGGTATCCCTTTTGACAATTTTAGTGCAGCTTTGCCCCGTCTTAAATGCCAACATATTCGACTACAGTTGTTATCATCCAAGTTAATGTGGCGAGTATCAAGGATTATAAGAGTTGCAACCCAACATGACATATAAGGAACTAAGATTAAGAAAGACTGGTTTGGGGAGATCTTTAATGGGATATAGGTATATGATTAGTGGCAAAGTGGAATGCCACAGTTACCAAAAGTTGATGTGTTGCATTCAATCCCATCCACCCAGTCAGTGGATAAGCATTTGGGAGCTAATAGTTCAATTTCTTTATGAAAGGAGAAATGCTGATTCTAATTGTTGTTATGCTATTGTTTTTAAATGTTCCAATGGTTTTGTAATGTTTGCATTGAAATTGCTGCTGTTAACCGCTTTGAGTCGCCTAAGGGCTGAGAAAAGTGTTATATAAATGAAGTAAGTAAATAAATAATATATGTTTGGGAATCTTGTGCCTTAATACCAGGAAAGAAGGAAAAGTAAATAATAGATCTGTTCTCTTCACTTCTCCTAAAGAAACTACAGAATTCCTGTTGAATAAATGTCAGTTCACTAGTGGCCCTGAATATACATATAAGCGCAATCTGTGGTTCACTGACTTTGTTTAGCTGTAACTGGGCAGCTTTGGTTTCCAATTTTATAAATAATCTGTAGCAAGCCTCTGATTTGAGTTCTCCCTTTTCATGCCCACAAGGAAAGTGTAGGATCTTGCTTCCTGTTCTTTTTAACATTTAAACTCATTTCTGTTTGTTTAAGCTACTACTAATGAGAAGTAGACAAGGTTAAACTGGTGTTTTCATTTAAACGTATGTCTCATTTTTCAACCATAGTCTAAGCCCATGGTTCCTTGTGTTTAGCTGTCACAGGGAACTGTGACTTCTTTAGAGGTAAAAGTCTCCAATCCTCTCCTTCTTCAGTTGCATGAGAGAAGAGGGAAGTATGTAAGTTCAAAGCTCACTTCAGCTTGTTGAAATAGCAAAGAGATAATTGTGAGATTCTACTATATCAAGCAGATTGTCCATCAAACTGTGCTCTGCCTGTACAGCTCTTTGTCCTTCAACCCACATATGTCTCTTTGTGCACAACCCAAAATTTCTTCCATCTCAAGCTGTCAAATCCTGGAAGAGGCACATCAGAAAATGAATCGGCTTGTCTCAGCTCAGAAGGAAAAGGGAATGTACTTACAGAAGGAATGATCCTCCTATCGCTTTCCCTCATAAATGCATAATCTGTCTTCAATGCCTTGCCACCATCTTCTTTGCCCCCATTAGCAGTAGGAACTCTTTCTGGGGCTTGGCTCCTGGATGAAATTTTGGATGTCATTCAAAAGAGCTACAAAATAGCACTACGTCCCCTCACCAAAGAGAGACATACATATATATAAGGAACATTTAACTTGTGTTCATATCACCAACAGGATTCCAGCTATAGTTTCCTATTCTTCCCATGTTTTTGTTTTAGAACTAAGTTTTGGAAAATGGCATTCATAACATTTTGGAAAAACACCTTTTGGAGATCATAGCCTTTTTAGAAAAGCATGACCTTTCAGAGAAGAGCCAAAAACCCTTTAGAGCAGAATCTTCTTTTGTGGTATACAACCAGATACAATTATGCTAGGCAATTGTTTCAGTTGTTAGACTGAATAACCTGTTATTTCTGATCTGTTAGGAAAATAGAGATTTTGCCAGTGCATAAAAACAGCAGAGCTTTAGAAGTGTTTTTCAGTGCCCAATATATATATACTCTCCCATAAAACAACTTGTTTTATATCATACACTCAAGAGACAAAAATGAAGTAGATGTTGATAAAAATAACATATTTGGTTTACTCACAACTTCATGTGTTCAGCATATACAGTTGCAAAACTTATCAGTCCAGTTTCAGATATGTTTGAGATAATTCATTGTGTCATCCGGCCAGGACATCTCTTATAGCAAAAGAGCAAGTAAGTGTGTGATCTGAAGTCTGAAGTAGAGCAAGTAAGTGTGTGATCTGAAGTCTGAAGAGTAAGTAAGTGTGTGATCTGAAGTCTGAAGATCTGAAGTCTGAAGTCTGAAGTTGCTATAGTCATCATGTGGTGTGTAATTCCTTCTCAGGAACCATAGAGTAAAGGGAGCTGCATACTAGAACATACATACAGGGAATAGTAAGCAACAGGATCATAGATAAACATTACTAGAGAAAGCTTGAAGAATGTTGTCATTTCCAACACTAAGGGCAAGAAAAGAAACTGGGAAAAATCATTTAAAAAACTAAAATTTTACAGTGCTGAATGGATGGTAATATATGTATTGTTGAAGGCTTTCATGGCCAGAATTACTGGAATGATGTGTGGTTTCCAAGCTGCATGGCTGTGTTTTAGCAGTATTTTTTCCTGATGTTTCGCCTGCAACTGTGGCTGGCAACTTCCTACAAATCTTCAGAAGATCATCTGAAGATGTTGGCCACATATTCAGGACAACTGTCAGGAGAAAATGCTGCTAGAATGTGGCCATACAGCCCAGAAACCACACAACACACCAATGGTACCATACATCCTGTTTTGTCCTTTTAGCATCTCTGTGGGCAAATCAGTAGAAGCCTTGTAAAGACTAGGAAGAACGGTGACCCCAGTTGTGCAAGGAAATTATATAACTTTTGCTTGTTTTGTTTCTAAACCAGGATTCATTAAATCAATTTCTCAAAAAACTGGAAGAGGAGAAGAAACATCTCCAGAACCAATTGAAAGATTATGAGCTCAGACTACAGCAAGAAGCAAAGGTATTTTGCCATAACCATCACCTCAAGTACATTTGCAGCATCTCCCTCCTCTGTTATCTGATATGTTTTTACCTACAGTGATGGTGAGAATAACACAATAAGGCTGTAGGGCAGGGTTTTTGTTTGTACCAGTCCTGGCCTCTTCATTTTGTCCAATTTTCCAATAGCTCTTTTTTCTAACTTCTTACTGTTTTGTTATTTAGGCTTATCATAAAGTGAATGATGAACGCCGTGCGTACTTAACAATGATTTCACAAGTAAGTACAAGAATCTCTGTCACCTGATGAGAAAACATTTTATCCTAAGCTAATCACTACTCTTTCCCCAGTGGACTCTTCTACTTTGTTTTAAGCTGATTTGTCTTCAAGTTAGAAAACTTTGCAGTGTTACGTCTGACTCAGCTGGAATGCTAAAAAGGAATGTTAATCATTCAATGGCATCTCTTTGCCCTTGTTGACTTAATAGTGAAATCAGTGCTGTTACAAGGCTGTTGCTCTTGACACCCCATTGATTATTCTGACTCATTTTTGGGTTACGTTATATAGTATTATTTACAGACATATGCAGTATTGCATCTGAAGTAGTAGTCTAGAGTCAATGAGAGCTTCTTCTGAAATTAACTAAATGTAGCACAAGACTTCATTTTCTTTATACTCTCAGACTGGTTTTAATAATAATAATAATACACTTTATTTAATATCCCGTCACCATCTCCCCAATGGGGACTCGGGGCGGCTTACATGAGGCCAAGCCCAACAGCATATTACAATAAAGTAAACCCAAAACACAATAACAACACAGTAAAATACATACAACATATGAGTACAAAACGATAAAGCAAAATCATACACAGTAAAATAAAATAACATAACATAACAATGA